GCATGAGAACAAAAGGGGTGATTATCTTTCTATTTCACTTCTGTAGTAATAAAATTGAATACTTTTATCCTAAAGACTAGCTATCTTAGATGAGAACAGAACAATGAAATCGTGGAACTCATAATCAAACTACCTCTGTATGGTTCAAACCCACATCTTACTCTGCAGGAGAAAGCTGAGGCTGGCTGCTCCCGTAAAGGTTTAATCTCAGAAGCCCTGAAAATCAGTTCTACTTTGTCCTCTACAGCTGCTATGAGTCAGAATTAACTCAATGGTAGGGGGTTGATTTAGAGCAAAACAAAACAGCGTTTTAAAAGAGAAACTATTAGAGTCAATAATAATAAAACTCTATAGGCATATTTGTACTTTGATGGTGAAAATGCATAGGGCACCCAAGGAAAATTATTATAAAGCTTACTTTAGGCACGTGATATATAAGAAATGGTGTTGGCAGGACGCTATGGTTCCTGTCCATATCAACTGGATTTGATTGATGCTGTTGGTGTTTAAAGTGCTTATTTCATTGTTAACTTCTTGGGAGGCAGGTTGGAGAGATAAGTAGGCCACAAGTAGTGTTTTACTCCTCTTAAGACTTAAAAAGTACAGCCTTCTAGCATCTTTTTGCCTCTTGAAAAACAGACTAGTGAATTCTTAATTGACTTACGTACAGCTCATATGGATACAGAGCAGCCTCTTAGTCCCTTGCTTGAAATGAATGCCTACTTCAAAACAAGTCTATCCTCTGCCTTCCAAACCCATCACAATGGCCATTTTTTTTCTCTTCTGAAATCTCTGTTTGTCTGGCTGGACTTAGCCCACCCTAGGAGGTAACGAACAGTGTGTACTTGCTTCTATTACCATGAACAGACTTGTGGCACTACACTTCTGGGATGCCAGGAAACATCTACAGTGCATTGACAACATGCCTGATGGTTTTCAAAAAAACTCTACTGGGGCCAAATAAAAGAGAGGTACACAGTTGAGACAAAAAAAGAGGCAGCATTATCAGTTTCCTTTTAACTTGTTTTTTTCAGTATGTTGTATCTTTCATACACTCTCCTAGTTTCTAGTCTTGGAATTATACATACACAGTTACAAAAATTTCACTTGTGTTATTTGTCATTACTGAGATTCAGGTCGAAAGACACTGTGAGCAAGGTCTATTTTCCAAAAATAGTGACCGATTAGCATGTGGGACAGGCAATGGAGATTTGGCAGAAAATTTACCAGCAGTGTGTTTAGCACAAAGATGACTGGACAATTGTACTGACCATCATCAGAGTAGCTTGAATTAACTAACTTGAGAGGGCAGTTTCAAATTATTTGGTAAAATCATTTTTAAGCGCAATGTAATCAAAGGGAGACCTGACTTCCATACTCTACCAGCTAATTAAAATGCTTCCTGTGGGGAAGCAGCAGGAAGAGGGCTCATTTCAGAATATTCTCTCTGTAGGCATTTCACTGAGATGAAATATAATAATCTACACTGAGTTTCTTGGGGACGTGCAGATTCATGTCAAGAACCCCCCCTGGCTGCAGCTGGTTAATGTGGTCACTGCAGGTAGCCAATGTGACGTGAAAAGCCTTCCCACATGTTTGGTATGTGAAAAACACAAGTGTCTTCTATGCTGTTATGGAGACCTGGTGTGGCATTGTGGGTCAATGCGCTGGACTGCCAGTTTGGTTTAAACTGTCATGTTGGCAGCTCAAGCTCACTAGCCACTCCTCGGAACCCCTATACAGGGTCGCTATGAATCAGAACCGACTTGACGGCACTCAATAAGAACAACAACATACACTATTATGAACATTACGTTTGTTTTCTGCATCACAATGCTATAAGAACCAATTTAATTTACTGAAAAGATAATGCTGAGGAAAAGGTTGAAGTTAAAGGTCATAAGATAGGGATTGGAATCAGTGATGCTCTTTTATAGTTGGGCTACCCTTTTGGTAATTTGAAAATTTCACACATTAGGATTTGGACCTGGTTGGGAATGGTTTAAAAAATACCTACTATATTAAAATATGGAGTCCTGGTGTGGCACCATGAATTAATGAGCTGGACTGAAAGTCAGTTTGAACTACAAGGCTGGTGGTTCAAGCTCAGTGGCCACTCCTGGGAAACCCTATACAGGGTTGCTGTAGGTAGGAACCAACTCAACAGCACTTAACAACAACAATATTAAAATACACACCAGGGCTGATATTCACAAGGCACACATACACATACATGATAATTGTTGGAAAGATGTTGATAAACGTTTTGTATTATTGGGTAGTTACTGTCTTAAGCAACCCAAGACAGTTGACTTCCTTGGAGACCTTCCAGGTTTTGCTTCCTGTGACCCAGCATCTATCGGAGTGATGATTACTTAACTGGGGCTCTCAAGACCACTCTGTCATGGCACCAGTTCTGATTGGTCTGATTTTATTTCTTCATAAAAGCTCTCCTTTCCTTGCCTACTTAACTCACTTTTTAAAAAGGTGGTAAATAATGCGCATATGTAACAAAACATTTGCCATTTCCAAAATCTCCACAAGTACAGTCTGTGACATTAATCATGCTCATTATATGTATAATGTAATCATCATCCTTCTCCTTCCCCAAAGTTCCCATCATCCATAACAGAAGCTTAGTATAGTCTCCTAAGTTTTATGGCCTCCTTTCCTCTTCCTCTTGCCTGTCCCTGGGAAGTCATAAATGTTGATCTCTGTGTACTTGCCTCAGGGTTCCTGGTGGTACAGTGGCTAAATGCTCACCACTAACCAAACGATTAAAGCCCTGGTGTGGCACCACCCAATAAAGCACTGCATCACAAGGGTGGTGGGAACCACAAGGTTCAAACTCAGCAGCTGCTCTTCAAAAACCCTACCCAGGGTCGCTATGAGCTAGAACAACCTGATAGCACTTAACAATGAACAACAACCAAAAGACTGGCCGTTTGAACCCACTAGTCCTTCTCTAGGAGAAAAGTATAGCAGCCTCCTTCCATACATATTTACAGCTTTGGAAGCCCTGTGGGGCAGTTTGTGTTGTTAAGTGCCATCAAGTCAGTTCCAACTCATAGCAACCCTCTATAGGGTTTCTGAAGAGTGGCTGGTGGGTTTGAATCATTGTCTTGCAGTTCAACTCTACCTTGTGGATCAGTGTGTACCCTACAGGACCACACCAGGACTCCAATGGGGCACTTTTAGTATTCCCTATGGAGCAGTTCTCGTATTGGCTGAAAAATGGCTGCTATGAATGGAGTGTGAGGTCGGCAGTTCAAACCTAACAGCTGCTCCTCAGAAACTCTATACAGGGTCACTATGAGTCAGAACTAACTTGACAGCATGGAACAACAACTATTATTTAGAATCATCTTGATGACAGTGGGTATACACTTGCCTAAGGAGTCCTGGTGTGGCACTGTGGGTTCATGCACTGGACTGCAAAGTCGGTTTGAGCTGCAAAGTCAGTGGTTCAAACTCATCAACCGCTCCTTGGAAACCCTGTATAGGGCTGCTGTGAGTTGGAACCAACTCGACAGCACTTAACAACAACAACAAGGAGCCAGTGGTACAGTGGTTAAGCACTTGGCTGCAAACTGAAAGTTGCTAGCTCAAGCACACCTAGTGTCTCCACAGCAGAGTGACATGATGCTCTGCTCCCATAAAGATTGTTGTTGTTGTCATTGTTATGTGTCATCGAGTCAGTTCCAACTCATAGTGACCCTGTGTAGGATTTCCAAGGAACAGCTGGTGAGTTTGAACTACCGACTTTGTGGTTTGCAGTCCAGTGCTGACCCTATAGCATCACACTAGGAGTCCTCCTATAAAGATTTGTTGTTGTTGCTATGTGCCGTCGACTTGGTTCCTACCCATAGCGACCGTGTACAGGCTACCTGAGGCTGTAAATCTTTACAGGAGCAGAAAGCCTCATCTTTCTCCCGTGGATCAGCTGGTAGTCTTGAACTGCTGACCCATAAAAATTATAGCCTACAAAATGTTTTCCAGATTTATCTATGGTATAGCATGTATGTTGTTGTTGTTGTTAAGTTCTGTTGAGTCAGTTCCGACCCATAGCGACTCTGTACAAGGTTTTATAAGGACTGTATTTTTCCTTGTATAATATCCCATTGTATATATGTACCACATTTTATTTATTCAGTTATCTGTTGATGGCTACTTAGCCTGTTTCTGCCTTTTGGCTCTTTTGAACACTGCCGTAACGAACATTTGTGTGTTTCTGTTTGCATTCCGGCTTTCAATTCTCTTGCGTATATACCTAGGATTGGAATTACTGGATCATAGGAGTTTAACTTTTTGAATTGATAAATAGTTACATCAAACTCAAATATTTTTCAGATCATTCGTATTATAACCAGAGAAATCAAGGACTGGTCATTCACTTTACATAAATCTTTCCATTTCCCTAAAGGGTCACCAAAAGGCTCCTCTTTAAGAATCATTTTGAAAACAGCTGTATTTAAACGTCCTGATGTGGCACTGTAGGACAAGCACTAGACTGCTAACCACAAGGTCTGTGGTTCAAAGTCATCAACCACATCTCAGAAACCCTATATAGGGTCCCTATGTGTCAGAACTGACTCGTGAACATTTAACAACAGCGTACTTAAATGTATCCCTTTCCAGTAAAGCATGTGAAAGAATTAAGCAAGTCCCTTATGTTATGATCTCTTCTGAGAACAGCAGAAGTTGGCTGAATTATCTGAACGCTTATCTCTCTGTTCCCTTCCCTTTGGCTATGGTGTGACTTCGTTTTATTTACAAGTCAATTACAGAAACACTACACTGTTCAGTACAGAAAGGTCAAATTCAATCTCTAGCTACTTGTTGATGGAAGGATGCTAATCTGCCGAGTTAAGAATGTGTACTGTCAGGAAAATGGTTTCCTGCTCATATCTTCTTCCTGCTGACATCTTCTCTTGGTGCCGCACTCAGGCAAACAGTACCATGTATGACATACATTAGATGCTTGAAATAAATAAACTTACTCTTGTGGTCTTAATTTTATTGCCTGTAGCACACATCCATCCGGAATTGTCAGGTAGCGTCTTGCATTCTTCTCCCTCTAGGCAAGGCTCCATTTCACACCACCATTTGCCAATCACTATGGAGGCTGTGCAAAAACAGGAAAGAAGTCTATTTGTGATTTATCCAAATAACCTGGACACTGGTTTATCCCTCTGCAATGGTGAATGCTTCATCAAGTACACAACGACCAGTCTAAACCGTCTATCACCAGCTAACAAAACTCGAATAGAAAGATAAGATTTGAAAGACTAAATCTCATAATGCAAATATAATTATGTTATCTGGTTTCATCAAGCAGTCTCTTGTCCAAAATCTCCTCTTGCGATGAAACCATATGCATTGGGATGACTTACTTTTTGGACCTCAAGGAATGTTTTGTTAGTTTTCACAGATCACAGGTCTTGGTGATAGTTCTTTTCCACCACGAGGCTAAGTGTTCTTCAGACTGTCATTCTTTTCAGAATTAAACTGCTTATGAATGTTAATGTAAAACTTACAACATTAATGGCCCAAACCTAGGACTTTTGAGAATTTCAAAGGCCTACCAAAAGCCTTAGGACCAAAGAAAATTAAATCGACTGAAAATACCAAAAAAATAAGATATAAAACCCCAACGTAATGATGAACTACTTGTTTACAGTCCAAAGCATATTTCCGTCAGACTGTGATCTTCTTTTAATGAGATGAGTGGGACTTCCAAAAGTTGAATCTCTGATTTTAAAAAGTCTTATTTTTAGGTTGATAAAAGGGATTTCAGTTTAGGGTGGTAACAAGGGAGTGTAATGGATCTATAGGATAAGTACTAGACTGCGAACGACAAGGTCAGCAATTCGAGCCCATCCGCCAGTCTTCAGGAGTAAGAAGAGGCTTTATGCTGCCCTAAACATTCATAACCTCTGAAATCCTATATAAGGTCACTATGAGTCAGACCTGATTCCATACTTGATGAAACGTAACGGTAAGATCAACAACAAGGATGACCACAATCACAAGCTGGCAGGGAATCCCATGTCTGCAATTATGGTGCACTCCTTTCATAATGAAATGTTGGAACTAGTGACGAGCCTCACTCAACACACATCAAGAAGCAACACATCTTCCTTAATGTGCTCTGTGAAAAGTGAATTCTGTAAAAGCATCAGTAATTTCTGTAGCTCCTCAAGGCAACGGGGCTTCACACGCCTACCTGTCCTCCATTCAAACTCCTCAGGATGTCTGCCAGTGTTTCTTTTGTGATACTTTCCCAACTGACTCTTTCTACTCTGGAGTAGGACTCTCATTCTCTGTTCATCTACCCCCAAACCGAGTCTCCACCATGCTGTTTTCTTCTCACAAAGAAGCCAAATGGCATCGGTTAATGTCACTGAGGATCAATATTGAAATGCAACGGAGTAAACCCTGCCATGAAGCAGGAGCATGTTGAAATGCTCTAACTGTCTGGCGTTCACTAGAAGGACGAGGTTGCTAACTTAAAAGCAGAATGGTTTAAACATTCAGAAATCTGTGTTTAGTCTTCAATCTTTCCCGTTCCTTTCTTCAGTCTTTCCTACCTTGAACTTTTAGAGAGCCTCAAACTTCACTTTGAATAAAAATTATTATGTAGGATTATATATTCAGAGCCATGTGGAATCTATTATATTGTCAATTCAAGGAATTTTTTTCAAGGGTCATTTTATCTATACGAGTATTTGATATTTACTTTATAAGAGTGCATGGGCCAGACGGTCATGTAAACTGTACTCCATTGCTTATGACAAGCATGCTGTTGTTGTTAAGTCGTTGCGTGGGTTATAACACATAGCAACTCTATATAGGGTTTCCAAGGAGTGGCTGGTGGGTTTGAACCATCAACCTCGTGGTTAGCAGCCAATGCTTGTCCTAGAGTGCCAGGATTCCATGACTAGCAAGCATAGGAAGTAAAATCCCATTAACTGGTTCTGTTGCACATGCACAATAATGTGATATTTGTGTAAGACACAGAGTACTGACAGAAGATATAAATCTTCCACAGAGAGGAAATTATTGCGAGAGATTTTGTTTGTTTATTTTTCTTCTTAATAATGAGTTGGAGCATAAAGTTGTGGACATTGCTATTGTTATTGTTAGCTGCCATTGTGTAGACTTTGACTCATGGTGATTTTATGTACAGCAGAATTAAAGGCTGCCTGGCCATGTCCATCCTCAGATTTACCAGTATTTTCATGCCCGATTCATCATACTGAGAGTCTCCTCTCGGGTAAAACATGGCTTATTTACATGAATGGGTGGGTCGCAGTATCTATCATATGTGATGAGCACATGTTTTGGCAGCAGTAAAAACCAAAAGACTGTTGAAAGAACAAAAAATAAGTTGCAAAACTTCTAGTAACGGAAGAGAAAAATCAGGGATTGGCAGCGTTTATTGAAAACTTACAACGAAACTCCCATGTGCCTAGCACTTAATCAGAAACTGGTCAGTTTCATTTATTACCATCCCTCAAAGTCCGCCTCATGTTTCAGTGTAGCTGCTCTGAATCTAAACCATCAGAAATAGAAACCCTCAGATCTTAGCTCTGAGGGGAAATTGCCTTTCCCAACAGTTGTTCGATTTAGCATCTTGTCACTGGTTTTTCACAGAGGATGCCAATAATGAGCAATGATAACAAGGGCCAGCTATTAGTATCGTCGCTTCCTTCCAAGGGGCCTTGTTCCCTCTTCTCTCGCCTGCTCTCTGCCCTGTTGGAGCTGACCTACTTTGTTGCAGGCTAACAAAGAAAACTCCCTCTGTAAGCATTAATGTCTCCTAAGTGAAATTATAGACAGTAGGAAAAAGAATACTCCTCAAAACGTATTCTTGTCTTTAATTCAAGGTTGTGAAGCTCCACTGGCTCATGTGGGGAAAGAAAAGGTTCTTTAAGAATGAAAAATGCCCTTAGGCCTGCTTATAATCTCTCAAATTTCATACTGCAGTTCCCTTCCCTAACTAGAACTTGATAATGTAGCGCTAGCCTCTGGCTTATTAGAATCTAGTTCATTCTTCCAGGGATGCTTTTCTAAAGATCCTATTAGACTGATTGTGTTTCTCATTCATGTATTGTATTACATAGTCATCTTCAGACACATTACTTCATATCCTAGGCCAAGCTACAATCTCCAAACCTGATTTTTCTCATAAACTCTAGCTATAGGGATAAAGTACTATTTCCTGTCATAGCTTTTGAAAAATTCATGAGAGGATTTTAATCCTTTTCCAAAGTCTTCACACTATTGAAAGAGGAGTGAACAATCTGATTTAATAAAATGAGCCCATATTAGTGTCATTAATTTTTTCTACAATGTTTTTGTCCAACACTTGTCTGTCACTTTGTCACTATGGTAGTGTGTGTATTGCTGTGATGCTGAAAAGTTATGTTGCCAGTATTTTAAATACCAGCAGGGTCACCCATGGTGGACGGGTTTCAACAGAGCTTCCAGACTAAGGCAGACTAGGAAGAAGAAGAGGCAGACCACTTCTGAATGGTTAGCAAATGAAAACCTGATGCACAGCAGCTAAACACCTGGTTACAGTACAGAAGGTGAACTCCTAAAGGTGGAAGACACTCAAAATTTGCAACTGGGACAGAGCTGTCTCTTTTAGGTAGAGTTGACTTTAATGATGTGAATGTAATGAAGCTTTCAGGACCTTCATTTACTAATGGGGCACAACTCAAAACGGAACTAAATAGTTGCAAACAACCGTTCATAATCAGAACTTGGACTACATGAAGTATGAATCTAGGCAAATTGGTAGTCATCATCAATGAAGTGCAATGCATAAAGATCACCATCCTAGGCATTAGTGGACCGAAATGAACTTACATTGGCCATTTGAATTGGACAATCGTATGATTTACCATTCTGGGAATGACAAATTGAAGACAAATCACCAAAAAGAACATTTCAAGAACTATCTTGACGTGCAATGCAGATGCGTACAAGGAAGACATGTTAACATGGCTACAATTCAAAGTTAGATACTAAACACTAAAGCCAGTGATGATGAAATTGAGGATTCTACCAACTTTTTCAGTGCGAAAAATGCTCAACCATGCAACCAAGGTACACTGACAATTACCGATGATTGGAATAAAAGGTTGCAAACAAAAAGGAAGGATCAGTAATTGGAAAATTTGGCCTTGGTGACAGAAACAATGCTGGGGATTGCATGGTAGAATTTTGCAACACCAATGACTTATTCATTGTAAATACCTTTTTGAACAACATATACACTGACTATACATGTGGAGTTTAGAAGATGGAATACACATAAATCAGGTTGACTGCGTCTGTGAGAAAAGATGGTGGAGAAGTTCAATCATCAGCCAAAACAAGGCCAGGGGCAGATTGTGGAACAGTCCATAAATCACTCATACACAAAGCTAGGCTGGAGTCCTGGTGTGGCACTTTGGGTTAATGTGCTACACTGCAAAGCTATTTGAACTGCAAGGTTGGTGGTTCAAACTGCTCCTCAGAAACCCTCTACAGGGTTGCTATGGGTCAGAACTGACTCAGTGGCACTTAACAACAAGAACAAACTTAGGCTAAAGCTGAAGAAAATTTAAAGAAGTCTATAAAAGCCAAAAAATGAACACCAGAATTTAGAAACCTTCTCAAGAACAGATATGATGCATTAAATACTAAAGACCCAAGTCAGAAGGGTTGTAGAATGACATCAAGAACATCATAAATGAAGAAAACAAAAAAGACAGGAAAGAAAGAAAAGACTAAAATGGATGTCAAACAAGACTCTGAAGACTGCTCTTGATCATAGAGAATCTAAAACAACTGTAAAGCAAAAAAAGCTGAACAGAAGCTCTCAAAGAGCAGTTCATGAAGAAAAACTCAAGTATTACAATGAAATGTGGAAAGACCAGACCTGAAGTTAGTAAACCAATAGGGAAAACCACACAGAGCATTTCTCAAGCTGAAAGAATAGAAGAAAACTTCAAGTCTCAAGTTGCAATATTGAAGGATTCTATGGATATGGGAAACATCAAAAGAAGATGAAAAGAATACACAGAGTCATTGTACCAAAAAGAATTGGCTGATGCTCAACCATTTTAAGAA